TAGTTATTTCTCTCATTGCAGTTTATGAAACTTTGGCATGTGCAGGACACAACATTCAGAAAACGGCTACTTCAAAATGTAAACGTTCCATGGGAAGCATTTCAGAAAACCTTAGAAAAAGTATAAGGTACGATAAATAAATGTGATTTTTCTTGTCTTTGTTCTAAATTTACCTGAATATAAAGGTATTATTTATAATTAAGTAATGAATTTTTTTTCTTTTAGTTTTATTTCTGGGTTCTGTTAGTACCGTGCAGGCTTGTAGGCTATTTAAAGAATAAAAGAAGTTATTCAATTACTTCATAATTAAAGGAAATTTTAGCCTGACTTGGCAATTATCTCAGATACAAATTGTTGTTTGATGTCTTAATTCCTAACTTTTGTATGTCTTCTAAGAGAGACAAATTAGCAAATCCTCAAGACTAAAAATTTAAATGAAACACAATTTAGTTTATAAAAGAAACATAGATAAAAATTAGTACAAAAACACTTACCCTTGATAACATTTTACCCATAATTTTCACTGTGAACATAGTGGCATATGCCAGGTTTAAAAGCATCAGTTGCAAACAATCAACATAGAAAGCATTTTTTTCTGGGTAAGCTGTGGGGCTGTCATGGGGAAATTTTTTAATGTCAGTGTTAAATAGGAGGTATTCCATATTTAGTACAAAAGTACTTTCAACTTCAGAAGAGCAAATGTTTTGCATCAAAATGACATTTCTACTATTATTGTTACACTAATGAGAAAGCTAATTCAGTGTTAAACTGGAACAATTATGTACCTTGGTACTAAAATGTGATGGTGGACATGAGGTCAGAAATGGAGACATTGTCTTCAGGTATTTTGAGGAAGATAATAAAGGAAAAGGAAGTGTGAATGTGAAGAATGTGAATAGATCATGGTTGCAGTTAATTTGCAAAATGTTAAAAATAAAGGTGCTAAACTGAAAGCAATAAATTACCATTTAAGGACAGAAATTTGTAACCTTAATAACGATTTTGTTTCAGCTGGGGAAAATTAGGAACCAAAAATATTCCTGATGCTAAAGTTGTCAAGAGAAATAGAGATGGAAAAACTGAATGTGGGTGACTTTATTTATAAAGGGCTTAAAACCTTAGAAAAGTAACGCCTCATTGATTGATCATGTCTCCACTGACTTAATAAATAAGTGACATATTCCAAAACTAGGAATACATTGCAGAAAACTTAAGAGGAGGAAATAAACAATGGAATGGGCCTGTAATTTAGAGACTTATACTAACAGCTGTAATAATGATGAACATTAGGTTGGTCTACCTTATGGTAGATAATCTGTTTCTGATGAAATTAGGTGATGTTTTGAGATTGCATCTACGATCTTTTTAGTGATTAATGCTGAAGGTCACATGAAAGAACACAGAATTAAATCTGCTTTGAAGTAACCAAACAGGAAAGTTAGGTTACCTAGAACATTTAGGAAATAGGAACCAAAATTTGACCAGTGCAAATGAAGGTAGTCCTGGTCCTAAAATTATCAAGACAAAGAAATTGAACAGTTGTTTTCATTGGTATGATGTAGAACATAGTTAAGAATAGTTAGTTGGAAAAATGACAGATCAAACAACAAAAGTAACAGTTCAACTGGGTGCAAAAGGGTTGGATCAAAAACATGAGGCTCAGGGATAGTGATTACAACAAAATGGCGTTTTAAAATTTGGTAGAAGAATTATAGAACAGGAAAACTGAGGAACTTAATTATAGAGGGCGAGCAAAAGGTGAAATTAAGCAAGAAACCTTATTCAATGAAGGGAAATAACAAGAGTCACCATGAACATGTAATTAAAAGGATAGTCAAATTATAAAGACATATGATGAAAGGGACTATGTTATATTTAAGAGTAAAGGATTGGCAGTAATTCTCATATATAAATTTTCAAAGAAATATGAAAGTAGAACTGAAGGACCCAAAATGAATGTGGTAAAACTATATATGATAAAAATCTAAATGAAACTAATAACAAAGTTTTGCATTAAAAATACAAAAATCACTAGTTCAATGCCCAAGCATCTCAACACTTCAGGAAGTTGGCAAATACATAGTAAAAGGCTTGAGTGCAATTTTTCAAAAAGCTTTGCAAACAGGAAATGAGCCAAAAAAAATGCAGAATAGGCAAGATTATACTCTTGTTTAAGCAGAAAAAGATAAGCCTGAAACTGCAGGCCAGCTTTTTACTTTTACTTTGCCTGTGAGAAGTTATTTTAATCAATCTGTTCAGGCATGTCATGACACTCCTTTGCAGCAGGTGGGAATTGGGCCAAGACCTACTGGCCCAGAGGCAGGTAGAGAAGCTACCATTCTGCAAAAAGAGTCGCTTAGCTGTGGAATCACACTGAGGCCAAATTTGTAAATAATCAGCAGCACCAGCTAATTGGGAATCATCTACATTGACTTTAAAGGCTGGGTAAGTCTTGGCTAATTGAAATTTTGAAGAAATTACAATGTGCAGATACGGGAATGTAGTAACTTTTCAGAGGGTATTTGCTTAAGTGTAACACAAGAGACTTTATGAAAACAAAAGTGTCTGCTTTATTCTATCTTGGCTGTCAATGGCAATACCAGCAGTTGTTGCCCATCCCTAATTTGCTGTTATGGAGTGACTTATTTGGTTATTTAAATGGTCTGTTAAGGGTCTATCACAATGCTGAGAATCTGCAATCACATCCAGGCCAGACCAGGTACAGACAGCAGATTTATGAAAAGTTTTATGGATTCAGCAGTTTCAATTGCTCTCAAGTCCAGATATATTAATTGAATTTATTATTAAATGTTAATCCACTAGCTGTCATGATGGGATTTGAACCCACATCTTCAGAACATTAACCTGGATATCTGGATTACTGGTCCAGTAACATTATTACAACACCTTTAGGTGAGGGGCAGAAAGCAAACAGTATGTGAAATGCTACAAGAATCTGTAGTGAAACATCTTTTATTTTCCATTTAAGAAATTTACATATGCACCTGTACAGCGATGCTGAAGTTTTCAGATAACACTAAACATGTGGAAATTGCAAAGTAAAGATAGATGCAGGATGCCAAGCAGATTAGCAGGGTGTGCAGATAGGTGGCAGATATAGTTTATGGTATAGAAAGGTAAATTGTTACCTTTTCGGGACAAAGTGATAGCGTCTCATGGTAGAACCATTCAAAATACAAAAGACGAAGATCTAGGAGGTGCAGATACATGGATCTTCAAAGAGGAATGTTTCAGAAAAATCATTAATAGCAATGGGATGATGATTGTTATACATAAGGATACAGCATTGAATATCAAAACAAGGTAATTCATTTGAATTTTTAGAAGACATTTAGAACAGATTTGAGTATTGCAAGCTGTTGTAGAATGAGAATGGTTTTCCCAGTGTAACTTCATTTCATGGCTTGAAATCATCATAATCCTTCAGTAAGAATTATGAAAGTGAGGGCAGGGATGTATGAGTGCACAGGAGCAGGGGTCAGAGGGAGCTTGAAAGTGTGGGAGCTCCTAAGAGTAGGAGTATGGCTGCTGTAGCTCAAGTGATAGTCTACAACAGTCTTTACTGCCTCAGAACTCACAACCGCAAAATTTGAGCTTGTGACTCTACCTGGAATCCTGACACTTCCTTTGGGAAACTTTGCAATATAGGGTAGGACAATAATTAACTGGAATTACCCTAGGAATAAGAGATTATAATTTTTGATGAATAAATGGTTGAAAATTGAGAGGTATTTCTCTGTAAGAGAAGATTGAGGAAAGGGCAAGTAGATGATGTTGAATTTATGGAAGTATTTGGGAGGTTCGAAATCAAAATCGGATTTTTGTTGGCAAATGATTAATGGGATTGTAGGCTCTGCTATCATTGGAAGTACAAAAGACAGATATCACGAGAAAATTTTCTTGTTACTGGATTGTGGGATGTTTTACCATGAATGATAATTAAAATAGATTATTTAACTTAAAAATGGACTTGGTAAGTATTGAAAATGAAAAATATAAATTCATACATTGCAATAAATAAAATGCGCTAAAGTAAAGATCTTTATTAAATCAATGATGGTGGACCCAAGTGCATTTTACTGATGTTAGGATTGCTGACAGTAAAGGATTATCTACTGCAACAATCAAGGAGAGTTTGCAAACAATAAAAAAGAGCTGATTAGCAAGAATAAGGATTGTTATTATTTCCTACAAAATGCATTTTGCCGTTCCCTGCAAAAGTCAGTTCCATGCTAGAGAGTATATACAAGTTCTCAGCTTTGTCAGTGCAATCTCAAGTTGAGCAATACATAAATACAGATGGGGACAAGTCCACCAGTTAATTCATATCTTGTTTATTATCCTCTGCTGCTTTACTGAGGGAGCAGAATTTTGTCTCTAACATTATTCGGACATTGGTCATAAAGACATGAACCATGTCCTTGCATAGAGTTCACATTGATGCATTAGCTATTTTACAGCCCAAAATGAGAGATTCTCCAAATCTTTACAAGCTTCATTTAAGTTCTTTTACCAATTCTGTCCAATATTCTTCGGAACAGTGACTGATGCAAAGGTGGATTTCCATGCACACTGTAACCCTTCCAATTATCTCAACCAAGTTGTCATTTTCCATGTATCAATTTAGACGATGGGTTTAGTAGGCTATTCCAAGATAGAATAGAATAAAATAAAATTCCATTACTGCTGAGTCAATCCAACTCTGGCCAAAGAGTCATTCAAAACCACACTTCCAGCAATAATGGAATCAGCAATTGAACCTGCGTGAGAATCTTTTCCTTCCTGATACAAAGACCATCTATAAAACCCTAACTGCTACCCTCACTAAAATAAGCTAGCCACACGACAAAATTACCCAACGAACTATCAGAAGAACCTTGAATGGTTCCTAAACAATAAAATGACAGACACAAAGCCTTAACGAGGTAGATTACAGCACTTTGTACATATTTTGAATTTCATTGAAAAGTTTAAATTACCTGAGAAATTTCCAATGTGTGTACATTCATCCATAACTCCTTTCATGAAGAGTATAGATTCTCGTGCTAGGGAGGCCTTCCTTTTTTCCCTCTTTAACAGTTCATGTTTTACAGTGGATGAACACTTGCTAATATTTGTTGACGACACTTGGTGACGTAGGCAACCAGTGTTTGATGTACCTTGAAGTAGAATTCCTTGTGTAGAGGTATTTAAGGCAGCCGTGTCTGTGCTGAACCGAGTAACTGTTGCAGTCCTCATCATTTCTCTCTTGACATTTAAATCTAACATGCCTGCGGGAAGATCACGGTGATCCAAGTTTTCAAAACCGGACGAGGAGTTCTTCACAAAATCCTGGCCCATTTTAAAGGAATCTGCCTAAATATCAAATACTTAAAATTTAGAAATAATTTTAAAAGCATTCAGATAGACTGAAAGCAAACACAAGACTAAATATTTGTTTGGCTTCTCCTTTCTCTCCCCAATCTCCAACACATGTAGTTAAGAACTGTAATCTTATACAGTGATCATTAGGATAATCCCAACTAAATTGTTTTCCAAACCAGGAATGTTGAGGTCAATTCTAACACATTTTAAACAAAAAAAATCATTCACAAGATGTACATCTTGCTAGCTAGGTGAGCATTTACTTGTCATTTACCAACTGTGACTATGAAGTCAAGCCTGGGAACGTTCAGTTCTACATGGTTCACTTATGTAGCACAGAGTATCTATGCATAACCTAGAAAGTGAGAACTTCGTTGATAACTTTCCTCCAAGTTATTAAAATGTCCTTACAAAGGACACTTTTCTGAAAGAGTTTGAATATAAACAACTCTAATAAATTATCTTTTACATGGTCTTACAATAAAAAGGAAAAACATCAGCCAATATCTGCAACAACTGAGGTACAGTTCAGTGAACATCATTTGAAGAGGATAGGCAAATCTGAGAGTCACTCTGGGATTCAAAATGTTATACAATTAGAGCTCCAAACAGTTTCTTTCTCCTCACTTTAGAAGTCCTTCTTCACTTCCCAGCTCTCCAGTCATCATCTTACAGCTGTAAGAAGAGTTAGTGGGATAGTCAATTATAAAGCTTCTCGACAGCTAGCACAAAATCAACTTCGTGGTCAGCTGACAAAAGGTGTAATCTAGCAGAACAAGACCAGTCTCCTTAAGTTTCTACTTTCCCTAAACAGGCATGCCTAGTGGTGCCCATTACTTCATTTAAAAACCTACACAAAGACAACTAAACTACCCCTTATGTCGAAAGCTGGAATGAGAAATAAAAACTATTCGCTGATATTAAAACTTGAAATTAAAACTCATTCAACAAAAGAAGAATGAATGCAGCCATGACGTCATGCAAAAACTTTATGATCAGGTCCCTTGTTCTATATGGACGACTGTTTTAAAAACAGGTGTTAGTCACTTCCCCCTAGGGACAAATAAATACAGCAAGTCACTTTGGACTCTTCTCTCATTTTTGACCATCAGGATGCTGTCTTTTTAAGGGGGAAGAGACTTGCAGATGACTGGTTTTGCTTTAAAAGTAACACCAGAGGGGGACAGCAAATAGGATACACTTAACAGGATCAAGTAGGTAAATAGTTTTTCTATTAATGCTACAATGTACAAAATAACATGGAGCAAATAGAAAAGTGTTGAGGGAAATTACAGTATCAAAGACCTATGTAAATCAGCTAATTAATTGGGAAATTAAGAAATTAGATCTGGTAGAACATCTGTAGAAAGGATAGACATAACAAAGCAACTAGAGGAGGATTATTCCTCCTGGCTCTCATATTCTACCTTCTGTAAATTTGCGGTTGCACACAATTTTGCTGCCTATGAATGACTCTCAGGAAACTTTGCTGTCCTATCAGCCTTTTGCTTGCCTGCAAGACAATGTCTTGATTCTGAAACTTACATCCTGATTTTTCAAATTCCTTAATGGCCTCATCCTTCTCCATCTCTGTAAATCTCCTCTAGCCCTACAAAACACTGAAATATCTGCACACCTCTAATTCTGGCCCAATTTTAATTGCTCCATCATTACTGGCTGTGCCTTCAGTTGCCTGGGCCGCAAACACAGGACTACCCTGCCCCCTTGCTTTCCTCCCTCAAGACATTCCTTAGTCTACTACCTCTGACCAAATGTTTGATCATCTGACCAAATATACTGGCTTGATGTCACACCTTGCTTATGATTATCCTGCAAACATCCTGGATGTTTTATGATATTAACAGCATTATAAGTGTGTTCTTCAACACATTTTGAGGTAAATCACCTTGACAGACATTAGGACAATTTGAACAATTTTAAGGATTTATGGAATTCCTGTAACGAAAAGATAAACTGCAAAGTAATGTTGTGTACATCTAGAGGAATCACAGCTGTCAAAAACAAGTTAAAAAGGCTTGACTGAAAACAAGTGCTGGTGATCACAGCAGGGTAGACAGCATCCATGGACAGAGAGCAAGCTAATGTTGAGTCTCGATGACTCTTCATCAGAGCTGAAGTGAAGTGTGGAGGGGACAGCATTTGTGCTACAGTTTGCTGGGGAAAGGGGTGTGCAGACTAGGCACTTTACAGCCTTCTGGACTTAATATGGAGTTCAACGCCTTTAAATTGTGAACCATTTCTTCCTTTTTTAGCTTGTTATCATGTCCTTCCCTCCCTGATCCCAGTTACTGCACGTTCAAGTCTGGCAGGATACATGCTGTTGCTCTGTCATTCTCACATTCTGATCACTTCATCTGACCGCTTAAGATCTTTTCTCCACCAGCACCCTACACCCCACTACCCCACCACCACCACACCCCCAAACAACAGCATAAATGCTGTCCTTCCACACATCACTTCAGCTCTGATGAAGAATTATCTAGACTCAAAATATTAGCTCACTCTGTCTCCATGGATGCTGTCTGACCCACTGTGATCTCCAGCATTTGTTGTTTTCAGTAGATTCCAGCATCTGCAATAATTTGTTCCTACTAGTTAAAAAGGCTTGTTATATTAGATAACGCAATTACAGATTTGAAGCACGGAGTACGATTCAAAACAAAAATCTGCCTTTCTAACCTGACTAAAAATCATAATTTTAATAAGGCAATACATGGTTCATTATTTTGTTTGAGGATAACGTAGATATACTCAAACACTCAAATTGATGCACAGCATGTTACTTCTCATTTTTTGCGATTTTATGTTAAATGACAGCCTAAATCAACCCAGGTTATGTGCAATATTACGCAGCCAAATCCGACAACTAACTCAAAATTATAATTCAGAACAATTTCTTTCGGCTTTTGCTTTGACTGCAGACTGCATTTCTCACAAGGAAAGCAGGAGCAATGTACCGGAGTATCAACAACATAGCTTTGTATCAACAAGCCATGCAAATTAAGTCACACAAGATGTTCACTAAACATTTCTAATCTTTAGTAAGCAGGAAGACAGCACAGCCTGGCCAAGTAATTCAGGCTAAAGCTACAAACTTAAAAAAACCACAAACAGAAGCCAAACAAACCAATAGATCAAAAAAATGAACAAAGGAACAAAAACAGAAGTTGCTGCAGCATCTGTGAAGAAAAATCAGAGTTGACGTTTCGGGTCTGGTGACCTCGCTCAGAACTTTGGGTCACCAGACCCAAAACGTCAACTCTGATTTTGCTTCACAGATGCTGCCAGACCGGCTGAGCTTTTCCAGCAACTTCTTTTTTTTTATTCCTGATTTACAGCATTCACGTTTCTTTCAGTTTTTATTTTAAAAATGAACAAACTTGCATCTATATGGTGTCTTTCATGACCTCAGGATCTCCTAAAGTACTTCTGGAAGTATGATCACTGCTGTTATTTGCAAAAATGCCTCAACTTGTAAGGTCTGACAAACAACAATGAAATTGTTGAAAATATGATGTGTTGCTTCATGAAGTCGGTGAGAGATAAAATATTGGTGAGGACTGCCAAGAAAACTTACTTTCTACTCAAAAAAGTGACATGGGAATTTTTTACAATCGCTGCGTGAGCAGAAAAAGCCTCAATTCAAGTCTCACTCACTTTGTATTACACTGATATTTCAACTTAGATCATGTCCTCAAGTTTAAGAGTGAAGTTGAATCTTTGACCTTCCGGCCGAGTGGTAGTGCTCCCTCACAGCCAAGGCCAACACGGTAGCAATAATCTTCTGTTTAGATTGAATAGTTTCCATTACCAAAATAATTTGTTTGAATTTGTAAGTCAAGTGTGCACTAGATATGTCTCTACACCTACACAACTCTTCCTAACCACCCTAACATTGAAGCTAAACAGCTATATTTAATGAAATTAGCATTCTACAACCACTGCTCAAATCTCATTAGATAAACTCAAAATGCAGGAGAAACTCAGCAAGTCTGGCAGCATATAAGAAAGAAACAGACTTAAAATGTTTTGAGTCTGGTATGATGCTTCTTCAGAACTGAAGGAAGTTGAAAAATTATGGATTCTAAAGTTAACTCTATTTCGCCCTCCACAGGTGTGGAGGTGCCGGTATTGGATTGGGGTGGATAAGGTCAGAAATCACTCGACACCAGGTTATAGTTCAACAGGTTCATTTGAAAACACAAGCTTTCAGAGCCTTGCTCCTTCTTCAGCTGTCTTATAAATTCTGTGTCTGATACCACCTCACTAACAACTGAAGGAGGAGCGAGGCTCCAAAAGCTTGTTCTTTCAAATAAACCTGTTGGACTATAACCTGATGTCATGTGATTTCTGACCTCTCTCCTCACGTGCTGCCAGACCTGCTGAGTTCCTCCAACAATTTGTTTTTACTTCAGATCTCCAGCATCTGCAGTACTTTGCCTTTAGTCATGCAATAATCCTCTCACTACCTTTAAAGCAGAAGACAGCTCTTTCAAGGACATCAAGGGTCACAGTCCTGAGGAGTGGCAAACACACACAGATTGACACTCCAGTCTATTATGGAGTTCCAATCTAGGCTCCTTCAGAAATGTGAACTGTACTTTAAATCTGACTGGTCTCTCATGGTGCAGACCAGTTGATGGAAGGCAAATTATGCCACCTTTCTCACAGCCGTCAGCTGCCATATTCTGCGATTTTAAGTGCCCAGCATCACAGATGACCACTTTGACAGCTCCTGCACAAGGGTAAAATAGGTGTAAGGTTACGTGCAAGCAGGATAGACTAGGTAGGGCGTGGAATATTTGGCAGGCAGAAAAAGAACTATTGGGGGAAGTGGGTACAATGTTGAGTACTGGGGTTGAAGGTGGGGTCTTGTCCTGGAGGGGCAGGATTTTGGGTCTGGTTGTGGAGATTGTTGAGATCTGGGGTGCAAGGGTGGGGTGTCACCCAGTGTTGGGGGTGAGTGAGGATAAAGATGTCAAGTCCTGACTAACTAGCCACCAGAAAATCTGCACCAACATTCTCATCATTTAAGTGGGTTGAGCTGAGAATAAAAGCCTTTGCTCTCTGGAATAATGTGTACTAGATCAAACAGAAAAAAAAATTACTTTGGAATAGCTGTCTGGAATAATAATAACCCCTTAATGGTTAAAGTAATTCAGACATTATGCATTTTTTTTCTTGGAACCAAACATGGTCATATTGTCATCTCAGACTGAAGATTCTAGCTAAGAAAATCTGACTTAATTAACAATAATATGTGGATTGCATCAATCTCGGAATACAGCTCAGTGCTCTCTAAAGTTAGTGGCAATTTTCCATAAGCTATTTATTTCTTGGCCCTCAGGCTCCAAGGAGAGATGAGTTAAGAGTATAGCTCAGAATTCAGGATACATTGGCTGAGCTAATAATTGTAAAAAATAACTATACAATACTTTACAGGTATTGTATTTCATATTCAATCGTAGAATCCCCTCAGTGTGGAAGCAGGCCATTTTGTCCATCAAGTTTACACTGATTCTCTGAACAGCATCCCACCTAGACCCACCCCCCATCCTATCTCTGTAACCCTGCATTTCCCATGGCTAATCCGCCTTACTTGCATTTCCCTGGACATTATGGGCATGTTAACATGGTCAATCCACTTAACCTGCACATCTTTGGACTATGGAAGGAAACCAGAGAATGTGCAAATTCCACACAGGCAATCATCTGAGGGAATAAATGAACCCAGGTCCTAGCACTGTGAAAATTTTTAACCTACATTTATACATGGAGCTGCATGGAGATAAATAATTTTGTGCCTATTTGGCCCAAATGTGTTTTGTTTATGCTTCATACAATCCTCCTTCCATTCTTCTTCATCTAAATCTATTAGCATAACCTTGCATTTTTTTCTTGCATCTGTGACAGATCATAATATTTCATGCAATAAAAAACTTTCTCATCTTGCCTTAGATTCTGCTGCAAATTATCTTGCGCTTGTTTTCTCTGGTTACTGACTCTTCTGCCGCTGGAAACAATTTCTCATTATCAACACCCCTTAGAATTTTGAACACTTCTATTACATTTTTTCACAACAACCAGGAAAGCAAAACATTATCTTTGCTCCCAAGTGATTTTACAAGGTTCCAAAATCACTGTTTTTGTATCACCACAACTATCATGAGGCTCTCCTGCTTCACTAGCAAGTGTCACCTGACATGCTCTAAGGCAGCACAACGACAAAAGCACACCATCAAACAAGACTCTTGCAGATCTTTTGACCCATTGCTATTTAGCAATAGGTACAAGATAACAATTAGTTATGAGGACTTCCCTTAAATGATAACTTCAGTAGTTCTGAATATATAAAAGCTATGAACATATAAGCAAAACATAGTATATACAGAATACTGGCATAAATTAGTTAGTGCCAATGCTGAATAAATGCATCCATTATGAAAGACATAAAATGAGTCTGACATATATTGTATGCATGCTGGCAGCTAGATCAATACATATCACATGCCCTTCAAAAACGTTGTACATGTGGGTTCGTGAGAGTGAGGAGTGGTAGAAATCACTAATAATTCATTAACTCATTTCTTTTCAGTACCAAAAACTATTAATTGCTTCACTTGCTTTGAGATTTTTAAAAAGAACAGTTCAAGATGGGAAGGGAAAGAATAAATTGGTAACCTGACATTTAGTACTTACTTCTGAGGTAATACATATTAGCTACATTGTTAGCAGTATATTTTGATATAATTGAGCCAAAGTGACTGAACTATTATTTAAACGAGCTACAGTTAAAAATACAGAGGCCTCAGATTACTAGCATCTTCAGTTTCAAAAGAAACATCAAACGTTCAGATTTCACAGGGGCAGTATTATAGAAGGACCTTAATCCTCAAATGACATGCTGCCCATGGAAAATCTTTAAATGTAATTTTAATATAACTTGAGATAACACAAAGGCAATAAACATATCCAGCACAGTAATACATAGCACATTAAAAACTAAAACAAACTTACTCCACAGTACTCTAGCAGTCTGATAATTTCTTCTTCATAAACAGTTTCTGTGGCATACTGCTTTTCCAGCTCTCTCCAATTCACAGCTTTACTTAAAACACCCTGTGAATAGCAATAGTATTAATATAAACAATATTCCATGTACCTATACTAAAAACTTTAAAGGGCTGCAGCTAAACTTTCTATTTCAACAGAACAAATTAATTTCCCATTGTTCTCAGACCAGAAACCACTACGACCTGCATGATTTGTAAAGTATTATTAATCATAGCATTCATCCACTTTTGGATTGAAAGATATAATAGTTCACAACAAATATGTAATAAACAGTTGCTTGGAAGTACAGACTTGAATACTGGTAGTAATCCTGTACATTAATCCTGATGCATGCAATGATATTTCGCTTTAAATGTGAGTAAATTAATGGAGCCTTCAGACTCATTGAGTGTTGCAGTTTTCACTTTAATGTTGCTTCCCTTGTGATGGGTGCCATTTTGATGCAGCTTCTCCTGCTCTCAAACTCAAAACTGCTCCCTGTGCTCCACCCTCCAACGTGCAGCCTTTCTCTGTACCTGAGCCTAACCGTATGATTTGTGGCCTCTCCTATGCATGGAGGTATTGCTGCCAGAGGTCTGCACCAGGACGTCTTTACTTACCAGTCTCCAGAACACCTACCTGAGCTGCCAAATATCTTAGCCATGTCATGGCTGTTGCAGCTTTGTACCCCTTCTTGCTGCTATCAGGCTCCAGGATGCACTCAAATGTGGTGAAGCTGCTCCTTTTAGACACTTACAGGACCTTGGCCTTTCTCCCCCTCCTCCTAGCAGTCAGGTATCAGTCATGACTGTGCTTGGTACTTTCCCTGCATGCCTGCCTGTGAAGGTGGTAGTCAGAAGGTATGGATCTGCAGCAGCAGGAAGCAGGACGTTTGGGTAGCAGGAATGGCAGCAAGGATGAGGTCCAATATTGTAAGTAAGCCTTTCCTTTTATATTTTAAACTATATTATTAAAGTATATTTTATTTTTTAAATTATTTTATTTACCAATGTTAGATTATAGTAGGGTAATACATCTCAATTGACAAGGATTAACACATCTTTATGTAAGGACTTACTGTAGCATAATTTGTTGAGGTTGTTTGAAATTTGGCATTCTTGCACTTCTTCTTATTAGTACAAAATTAAAAAGCTTTGTCAATATGTCTCCCATCAGCAATATTCAAACATATTACGTTTACATTGATGTCGGAAGAAGTCATTAACTTAAATGGCAAGGTAATGACATTGTCAATTTGCCTTTATGCAGATTCCCACTTTTGGATCAGTTGAAGGCACCTTACAAGCCATTCTACCTGTTTATAATCGTGTCAGTTTTAACTGGAATAATCATTCTATAATCTCACTGACTGGCTCTCTCCTAATAGCCCTCTTTCATTGCTTCAAATATGTATCCCATTTTCTCCGAAAAGATTCAAAGATCTCTGCCTTAACCAATCCCTGTGGTGAAGACTTCCATGCTCACAAACTACACATTGTTATTTTTCTCTTCTAACCCTTCCTACCCCAAATTATCATTTTAATTGAAGACCAGTCATTGACTCCAACTAGAGAAAATACATCCTCTTTATCAATTCTGTTGAAGCCCTTCACAATTTTAGAAAGGTTCCTATAATTCGTAGACTTCACTGCTCCAATAAAAATTGTTTCTGCATCTTCCATCTCTCCTTGTACCTTTTTGATTTTTTAAAATTTTATTGTCACGTGTACCAAAATACAGCAGAAAGCTTTGTTTACGAGTGGGACAGGCAGATCACAGCAAGCAAAGGATGTGCAGATCAAAAAGACTTAGAGGCATACAGGTTACATTGCAGGTTACATTATTTGAGGCTAGAGGCCATTCAACAGTCTGATAACGGCCAGAAAGAAGCTGTTCCTGAACTTGCTTGTGCGTGTGTTCAGGCTTCCGTATCTTCTGCCTGATGGAAGATGTTGTAGGAGGTCATTACCAGGATGCGATGGGTCTTTGATGATGTTGGCCGCTGTCTGTGGCAGTGTGCTGTGTAAATAGAGTCCATGGATGGAAGGTTGGCTTCTGTGATGGTCTGGGCTGCACATACCAACGTCTGTAGTTTCTTATGGTCCTGGGTACAGCAGTAACCATACCAGGACATTATGCACCCAGACAGTATGCTTTCAATGGTGTATCTGTAGAAGTTGGTGAGTGACCTTATGGACATGCCGAATTTCTGAGCTGCCTGAGGAAGAAGAGGTGCTGTTGTGCCTTCTTGACTGTCGCATTTACGTGGGAAGTCCAGGACAGGTTGTCGGTTATTGTGACCTCCAGGAACCTGATGCTCTTCACTCTCTCAATCTCAGTTCTGTTGTTGTAGATGGGGGCGTGTTCTCCTCCTTTCTTTCTGAAGTTGATGATCAGTATTTTAATTTTGAGAGGCAGATTGTTTTTGTTGCACCATGTCACAAAGCCCTCTATCTCCCTTCTGCATTTTAACTCATCGTCATTAGATATCTATCCCACTACGGTGGTGTCGTCAGCAAACTTGTACATGGTGTTCTTTCGGAATTTGGCAACACAGTCTTAGGTATACTGGAAGTACAGTAGGGGGCTGAGGACGCATCTTTGGGGGTCTCCAGTGTTGAGTGTTATTATGGACAAGGTGCAGTTACCTATCCTCACTGATTGTGGCCAATGGGTCAGAAAACTGAGGATCCAGTTGCAGAGGTGGAGCCAAAACCAAGATCACGCAGTTTTGAGATCTGCGAGGGGACAATGGTATTGAAGGTGGAGCTGTAGTCAACAAGCAGGACTCTGACATAGGTACCTTTGTTGTCCAGATGTTGCAGGGATGAGTGCAGGACTAGGGATATAGCATCATGTGTGGACCTGTTATACTGGTAGGCAAACTGTAGGTTTGGGAGGTTGGGAGACTGCAGTTGATATGGGCCATGACCAGACTCTCAAAGCACAATTGTTCATCCCTAATACTATCTTGTTAAGTCTCTATTTCATATACTTTATGGGGAGCTGGTAGAAACAGTCACAAAAGCGACTTTTAAGAAGCATTTGGACAGACACGTGAACAGGCAGCGAACAGAAGGATACAGTGTACGTGTAGGCAGACAGGGTTAGTTTAGAATGGAATCATGGTGGGCCGAAGGGCCTGTCCCTATGCTGTGCTGTTCTGTATTCTATAAAATAACACACACTGATTTACAGGCAGTACTGTCTTGTTGGAGATAATCATTGCCTGGCACTTGTGTGGTGCAAATGTTACTTGCCACTTGTCTGCCCAAACCTAGAAATTGTCCAGATTTGGCTGCATTGAGGCATGGACTGCTTTGTTATCTGAGGAACTGCAAATGGTGCTGTACATTGTGCAGACATCAACGAACATCCCCACTTCTGAACTAATGATGGAAGGAAGGTCATTGATGAAGCAGTTGAAGATGTTGCTACCTGAGGAATTTCTGATAGAGATATCCTAGAGTTGAGTTGACTAACCTCTAACAACCACAACCATCTTGGTTTGTGGCAGATATAACTCCAACTGGCAGAGAGATACCCCTCCAAATTCCCAGTGACTCCAGTTTTGCAAGCATTCTTTGATGTCGCACTTGGTCAAATGCAGCCTTGATGTCAGGGCCGGTCAATCTCACTTCTGAAATTCAGCTCTTTTGCTATGTTTCAACTAAGACTGTAATGAGGTCAACTGTTGAGTGGCCCTGGAGGAACCCAAACTGACAGTCAGTGAGCAGATCATGCTAAGCTAGTGCTGCTTAGTAGCACTGTTGATTATACCTCCCAATATTTGACTGATGATCAAGAGTACACTAATGAATTGGTACTTGGTCAGGTTGGGTTTGTCCTGTTTCTTGTATACAGGATATATCTAGGTAATTTGCCATATCCTCAGACATATGTCAGTGCTGAGGCTGTACTGGATCATATTGGCAAGTGGCACAGCATGTCCTGGAGCTCAAGTCTTCGGAACTATTACTGGAAGTGTTGTCAGGGCCCATAGCCTTCGCAGTATCCAGTACTTCTATCCACTTCTTGAAGTCATGTGGAGCAAATTGAATTGGTTGAAGACTAGGAGGCAGAGACAGGTCATCTGTTCATTTCTGGCTTTTGTGTTGGGCTCCCCCATTATCAAAAATAGGATTGTTTATAGAGTGACCGCTTCCAGTAGGTTATTTAATTAGCTGCCACCATTCACAACTAGATTGGGCAGGACTGCACAACTTAGATCTGCTCTGTTAGCCGTGGAATTGTTAAGCTCTATCACTTGCTGTTTAAGCTGTTTGAATGCAAGTCGTCCTATTTTGTCATTTCACCAAGTTGTCAAACTTTAGGTATGCCTGATGCTGCTCTTGGCATGCTCTCCCGCACATTTCATGCAACAAGGGCTAATCCCCTGGCTTGATTATACAGGTATTTCTGCTATAATGCATGTTTTGTCAATGCAAATTGGCTGTAATGCGATTGAGGAATAGCAGTCGCAGTTTGGATAACGCGTACAGGGGTAGTGATTTTCTATAGCAATTTCCCTACAATGTAATTTTCTATGGCAATTTCCAACAGTGTGATTTTGTACAGCGCGAGGTCACACAAGAACGTGACTATCACATTATAGGAGAAATACCTGTAATAGTGGAGTGGGGGATATGCCAAGTCATTAAAGTTGTAGATTGTGCTGGAGTACAATTTGACTGCTGATGACCTACTGTCCCTCACAAATCTGCCTTTAATCCCATCAGTTTACTTAATATCTTGTTCCTTATTATAGTAATTTCACTAAGTTCCTCTGTAGAAACTGCAGTTTTTGGGAAGAAATTATTATCGTCTACTGTGAAAACAGAGACAAAGTATTAGTTTAGTGCTTCCACCATTACCGAGTATCCCCATTATTACCTTGCCATTTTCTTCCTCTAAAAGGCCAATGTTTACTTTGACAACTCGTTTCCTTTTTATATACCTATAGAAGTTTTTGGTATCAGTGCTTATGTTTTCTGCTAGGTTCCTTTTATAGTTCAACTTAGCTCTTTTGATTTTGTTTTTAGTAACCCTATGCTGAAGTTTAAAGT